ACATGGTCGACATGACAAATGCTTTAAGTTTCAGTTCAGTTCTGCTTCATAAATATGTATTGAGCACTGAGCCCCACTGTGGGAAATATATGGCATGTGACTCTGCAGTATTGTGACTGATTTTTTAAAAACATGAATTCCTGAATTCATATATTCAAGTATGTGGTCTTTCTTGAGAGGTTAAATATTTTTCCAGAGATGTTTTCACGACTCAAAAATTTTGTAACTCCTCTCTTAAAGCTTGTCTTCAGCCTGTAGCATTTTAAAAAAGAATATGTATATAACATGTATATATATGTGTGTGTGTGTGTGTATTATATAGATTTAATTTTTAGAATCAGCCAAAAGTTATTTGGTACTAAGTCCTATGAATGAGTTAGGAGACCAACATAGATAATATTCTGTTCATCTAAAATGATGTGTGACTGTGGAATACTGGGTCTGATTTTCTGGATAAGGTTTATTAATTTCAAAGGAGGAGTTCTACTGATAATATGTGACATGCAGCATTATTGCGGTAGGTTTGTTGCTTCTCAAAATGACCCTGAAGGAAAATACTCGTTTGGATATAAGAATTCTGATGTGTTCATAAAAAGCTCTGACTTCTTAGACAGAGAGCCACGCCTAAAAAAAGGCTGTTGACCTTTAGGAATCTTCTGCCTTGTTAGGAAGGTGGCGTGGAAACAAGTGTGCTAGCTAGAGAGCAGGAGTTGGCATTAACTGCTTGGTGCTGACACAGGGCGAGGTGATCGTGTGATACGGTCCGGAAGCTGGGGCGCCTGACTGGGCTCCCCTTTTCAGCTTTATACCCACCCGCAAAGGTATAGGTTGTCTTCCTGTCAAAATTTCCCCTCTGCTTTTTCCCTTTTGTTCGTTTGTTTGTTATTTGTTTTATTCAGATTAACTTATGAGAAAAGGGTGTTGAGTGTGTCTCTGTGTGTTAGATTTCTCTTGGTTCCATGTTATTGCAAGACTGATTCTAGAAATGGGAAGTAAAGAAGGAAAGCAGTTAGCAAGAGTAGTTCAGGATGGTTTCTTGAAGTAGGTGGGTGGGATGGATTTAAACTAAATTCTGGAGAATAGAGATGACACGCATTGCTTCAGTGCACATGAAGCTCAAATTTATATAATGATTATACATTCTCTGTCTAATGTGTGGTGGCATTGTCTCCTACAAGAATGCATGATACTCGTGGCCAGGACTAGTGCTTCTGAGTCTTTTGTATTCTTCACAGCAGAGTGCAGGATGTACTCATCAAGGCCCACTTCAAGAGTCACCTCTTCTCTGGAACTTTCCATGACCCACTCCAGACAGAATTGTTACTCCCTGATTTCCATCTCATGTTCCTTTAAACAAACTCTGTGTCTTGGTCATCTTGGGCTGCCATAACAAAATACCATAGACTGGGTGGATTAAACAACAGAAGTTTATTTTCTCAAAATTCTGTAGGCTGGGAAGTCCAAGATCGAGGTGCCGGCTGATTCAGTTCCTGGTGTGGACTCTCTTCCTGGCTTCCCGACAGCCTCCTTCTTGCTTTGTCTTCCCCTGGCAGAGACAGCGAGCTCTTTACTGTCTCCTCTTATAAGGACACTAATCTTATTGTATCAGTACTCTACCCTTATGACCTCATTTAACCTTAATTACTTCTTTACTCCAAATGCAGCCACACTGGGGGTTAGGGCTTCAACCTATGAATTTTGAGGAGACACAATTCAGTCCATAGCACCCTTGAAATGCTTGTTACATTGTGTTGTAATAATTTGTTTATGTCTATCTCTGATAGACTGTGGTCTTCTTAGGTGCTAAGCACTGTGCTAGGCATTGAGAATGTCAAAAATGGACCTTGCCCTCAAGGAGTTTGTCATTAGTTGTATTAGTTTTCTGTGGCTGCTGTAATGAGTTCCCACAAACTTAGTGGTTTAAAACAGCACAAATTTATTATCTTACAGTTCTGAAGGTTAGAAAACACAGGTCTCACAGGGCTAAAATTGAAGTGTCAGCAGGGCTGTGGTCCTTTTGGAGGACCTGGGGAGAAGCTTCTTCTTTGCCTTTTCCAGCTTCGAGAGGCTGCCTGCCTTCCTTGGCTTGTAGCCCCCCTTTCTCTATCCTCAAAGCCAGCAAAGTTGTACCTTTGTGATCAATTTTCTGTAGCAATGTCTACCTCTGATACAGCTGGGAAAGGCTCTCTGTTCTGAAGGATCCATGCAATTATGACTGGGGCCCTCCAGATAATCCAGCATAATCTCCCCATCCCAAGGTCCTTAATTTAATCACACCTGCAAAGTCCCATTTGCATGTCAGGTAACATATTCATTCTTTGAGGGGGATTTATTCTGCCTATCGTGTTAGTGGGAGAGTTGTTATTAGTGCCCTCGAGTGGATTCCAGCTTCCAGTGGACCCTGTGTACAGCAGAGGAACCCTGCTCTGTCTTTTCGCACCATCCTCTCACCTTCCAGTGCTATATCAGACAATGCTCCACCGCTATTCATAGGGTTTTCATGGCCAATTTTTTCCGTAGTGGTTGCCCAGGTCCTTCTTCCTAGTCTGTCTTGGTCTGAAAGCTCTGCTGAAACCTGTTCACCATGGGTGACCCTGCTGGTATTTGAAATACTGGTGACATAGCTTTCAGCATCACAGCAACATGCAGCTGCTATAGTATGACAACCGACAGATGGGTGGTGTGGTTCCCTGACTGGGAATGGACCTGGGTCATGGCAGTGAGAGTGTGAATCTTAACTACTAGACCGCCAGGGTTGGCTTAGTGGAAGAGAGAGACATGTAAATTGGAGACTCTATGCAATGTGCCAAGTGCAATAATGAAAATCTATTCAGGGTACAAATATATGGGAAGCATAGAGGAAGGTGGTTGTTCAACAAAGGATAGTTACAAATGAGGCACTGGCAGCAAAGATGAAGAGGAGATGGGTGCCAGGGAGGCAGAATGGGCATAATTTGGGAACCAACTTTATGTAGGGGATGAGGGAGGGAAAGAGAAAGGGAGTTAGAATGATTTCCAGATTTGGGATTGGGACGGGGTGGGGTGGGGGGCTCTTGCTGAGACAGGTAGCACACTGAGGATGTATTTATTAGGATTCTTTGGTTGCAAGTAAAAGAAATACAAATTGAATTAGGCTAAGCAAAGAGAGGAATTTATATAAGTTTATGAGGGGAGGCTGGCTCATGGAACTCAGCAGGATTGTAGCTGAGCATCAGAAACAAACTAGAATGAGGACACAGGTACCATTTAGGACTTGTGTTTTCCCTCTGCTCCTCTCTATCTGTCTTTTTATTTCTCTCTTTCTCTGAAGACCAGCATGTTTTGCATCTCCCTTCTGATGGTGAAAACCTCACTAACCATAGCTGCAGATTTTACACCTTCATTTACAGTCACTCAGAGACTAATCTCTCTCTTTCTCTCAATTCCGTAGTCCTGGGAAAGGGCTCTGATTGACGCAGCTTAGGCCAGGTCTCACCCTGGTTCCCAAGCATGTGGCCAGGGCACAATTAGCTGCCCTTCATGCTCTTCTGTCTTCATGACCACTCTGGCTACAACCATGTGGTGGATGAAGGAGTGATTCTTAGCAAAGCCATGCTTGGCAGACATTCCAATAAGTGTCCACTTCAGTGGGGAAGATGATGCATTCAGTTTTATTTGTCTTTCTCTTCTACTTTAAAAAAAAGTTGAGGCTCTTAATTTAATCACATCTGCAAAGTCCCATTTGCCATGTACAGCAACTATGCTGTTGCTGTATCAGAAATTCACTCCTTTCTGTTGCTGAGAATATTTCACTGTATGCATATATCATACGTGTTTATTCATTAACCTTTTGGTGAACATTTGGGTTGTTCTTAGTTTTTCTGGTTATTATGGACATTTTTATACAAGTCTTTCTGGGGTTAGAGGGAAATTTGTACCATTAAATGCAGAGATTAGAAAAGATGAGTTCAGTTTTGAATAACTTAAGTCAGAGGCACTGGTGAGACATTCAGGTAGTGAGGTCCAGGACCAGTTGGAGTACAGTCTTCTAAGGCATAGGAGAGAGAGGTGGGCTAGCAATGTAGATTTCTGTAGTCGCATTATGTGGAGTAAAAGCCATGCGAAAGTCCTCAGGTAGAGAATAAAGCTGAGACAAGAGAAAGCCCATGAATTAAATCCCGAGGAGTATCGATATTCCAAAAGAGGAACCCTGTAAGGAGGCCAAGAGAAGCATGGCCATTTATGTTTGTGTCTCCATCACCAGGCACTGGACCCCATGCACAGTCACTTCTCAATTTGCTAAATTTAACAGAATGGGTGCAAATATATGGTTATTGATAGACCCCATAGAAGGAGATAGATTGGGAGGAGAAATGGCATGAGGAGTCGCAAAAGACAGAATGAGCGTGGTAGGCTGAAGAGCGGGAGTGGTGCGGGTAAGCTTGACGGACTCCACCTTTGCTTAGGCGGAGCTGGGAGGACCGGGTCATTAAAGTCGAGTGGTTAGGTAGAGTCAGACTATGCAGGGCCTGAAACGGATGTCAGATTGAGGAATTTAGACTCCAGCAGGCCGGCCACCCGGAGAGGAGCAGGGTTCTGGAGTAGGGCGTGAGAACAAGAGATTGCCTTTTGGGAAGTGTACTCCGGCGGCGGTGCTGCTGGCGAGAGTGCTGTTGTTATCGGTGGTAGTGCTTTCCACTGCACTTCAGCTTCGTAGCTGCTGAAAGAGAACAGTGCCGCCGGCTGCTGCCGATGTTATGTCATTCTCCGGCCAAGTGCTGTAACTTTGCCTCTGAACCTGGGCAGCAGAAGACAGAGGCGGTGGCATGTGGCCGCAGCTGGGAGGCAGTGCGTGCGCGCGGGGCCGGCGGCGCCTGGCTGGGAACCCTGGGGCGGAGCAGGCGCCCGGC